GGGGATTGAACTCAGGCCCTTGCGCTTGCCAGGGAAGCTCTTATTCCACTGAGCCATCTCCCCAGCCCCCTTTTGTATATATTCTTGTCAAATCTGTTCTGTCTCCATCTAGGGTATTCTTTTTGGTTTTTTTCCACTTTCACTGTGAGATCTATCCATGGTGCTGGGTGTACATCTAGTATGTTGTTTCTAACTGCTAGATGGTACTCTGTTCTCTGTACCCATCACATATTGTTTATCCACAATGAATCTGAGCATCTCTTTAGATGCTTGTTAGACTTCTTCTTTTGTAAATCGTTGTTATCTTTTGACTGTTTTTATTCTGACTTTTAACTTTACACATTAGAGTTAATGGGCAGGGCCAGCGAGAGCTCAGTGGACTAAGCGCCTAAATGCAAGAACTGGGATTCAATCCCCAGCACCACATGCCATACCAGCCCCACCCCTGGGTATACTGAACCTGCAACTGAGTCTGGGTGTGGTGGCGCATGCCTTTAATCCCAGAGCTGGAGAGGCTGGAAATAGGAGGATCACTATGAGTCTGAGCTGCATAGTGAGACCCTGTACTAAATAAATAAATAAACAAATACATAACTTTGATGGGGAGTTTTGAATATTCTTTATTTATAAATTCATACATTCAATATTTACCAGTTTTAAATGTTACTCTCTTTCAAAGGCTTTCATATTTCTGTAGAATCCTTTGTTGAAAGAATTTTTACTCTTTCTTGTAGTGCTGGGCATTGAATTCAGGGCCTTATACATACTAGGCATAACCTTTAACCTTTACTCTTAATGCAATGCATTCATTATGGTTTTGGTCTTATGATTTATATATGTATTTTAGTTTTTATTTGTTTTATTTTTATTTATTGTTTATTGCCAAATTTTATATATACATAATGATCACATTCATCATAAGGAATTTGTACCTATATATGATGTATCTTAATTTTTCTTTTTTTCTGTTCTCCTATCCTCCCTTCAGCCCCTCTTCCCCTCCTTATTTACAAACTTTGTTTCCATTTTTTCCTTCTTTCCTCATTTTCTTTTCTTTTCCCCATCCTCCTCCCTCATTCCCCTTCCCATTTGAATATTCTCTTCATATTTGATAATAACTAGCAGACATTTTGATCCTTACTTACACATTTAGTTTCTTGCACCAGAGAAACAATGTGCCATACACACATATGTTCAATTTATTTCACTCAAGAATATAGTCTCAAAGTCCATCCATTTACCTAAAAATGTCTCCAGTTTATCCTTCTTTATGGCTTTATTTAAAAAAAAACACATCTTTATCTGTTCATTTGTTAATGGCCATTTGAGCTCTTTCTAAGATTTAGCTATTACAAACTGTAGTGCTATAAACATGGGTACACATATACTGTTTTGGTATAGTGTTTTTAATTCTTTTGGGAATATACCAGAAGGAGAATAACTGGGTCAAATGGAACTTCCTCATTTTATGAGGAATCTCCACACTAATTTTCACAGTGGTTATACCAGTCTACACTTTAATCAACAGTGGAGAAGGATTCTTTTCCTCCCACAGCCTCTCCAGCATTTATTATAGATTGATTTCTTGATAATTGCCATTCTTTCTGGAGTGAGATGGAATTTCAGCATTGTTTTAATTGGCATCTTTCAAATAATCAGT